TTAGCACAGACACCCAGCCGACAACTGGAGGGTGACAGGCGCGACGCAAGCGGTGCCGCTTCAGCGGAGAGAACAGCAGCGCTTCCGATACAGCGGGTCGGTGGGGCCAAAATGGCTACAGACAGGAGAGAAAGAGAAGGCCGGAGGAAGAGGCGCCCCAGCTGTTGGGCGAGCGGTGCCGACATGGCTTCAAACGAGAAAGGGAAGAGAGTGGAGGGGCGGCAGAGGCAGGCGGCAACGGCTCTTCGATTCTCCTTTTCCATTATCCTTTTCCCCCCGTCGCCCCATCTCCCTGATCTACGACGACGAAGACGACGACGACGCACCGCAGATGACCCATGGGCGGAGGTTGTTCCATAGGTTCGCTGTCGCCGTCAACGACGACGACGACGACGATGATGGCGACGACGGACGACGACGCACTGCGAATACCCTAGAGTGTATGTGGGCGTGTGGGCGGATGTGTGTGTGTGTGCGATTGTGTGTGATTGTGTGAGCGTGTGCGTGTGTGTGCGTGTGCGGGTGAGGGAATGCATGTGCGTGTGAGAGAGTGTGTGTCTGTGTGTGCGTATGTGTGTGTGTGCGTGTGTGTGTGTGTGTTTGTGTGTTTGCTTGTGTTTTGTGTGTGTGTTTGTTTGTGATTGTTTGTGTGTGCGTGTGTGCGTGTGCATGTGTGCGTGTGTGCGTGTGTGCGGGTGTGCGTGCGTGCGTGTGTGCGCGTGTGCGTGTGTGCGTGTGTGCGTGTGTGCGTGTGCGTGTGTGCGTCTGTGCGTATGTGCGCGTGTGCGTGCGTGCGTGTGCATGTGTGCGTGTGTGCGTGTGTGCGTGTGTGCGTGTGTGCGTGTGTGAGTCTGCGCGTGTGTGCGTTTTTGCATGTGTGCGTCTGTGCGTGTGTGCGCGTGTGCGTGTTTAGGTGTGTGCGTCTGTGCGTGTGTGCGCGTGTGCGTGTGTGCGTGTGTGCGTGTTTGCGCCTGTGCGTGTGTGCGCGTGTGCGTGTGTGCGTGTGTGCGTGTGCGCATGTGTGGGCGTGTGCGTGTGTGCGTGTGCGTGTTCGCGGGCGTGTGCGTGTGCGCGTGCGTGTGCGTCTGCGTGTGCGCGTGCGTGTGCGTGTGCGCGTGCGTGTGCGTGTGCGTGTGCGCGTGCGCAGCTGCAGGGCAGGACTGCCCAGAATTCAGTCCCCTGCTGCTCTGCGGCGCCTCTTTCACTCCTCCAAAGCTTCTTCCTCTACTATCTGGGCAACGCTTCGCGGCGAACGCACGCTGGGCGACCTCGTTGACTCTCTGAGGAGTCAGGCGCGACACCCACACCCATCAACATTTTGCTGGGAAATTACGATGCCTCAAAAGCACCAGAACTAACACCAATCACGAAAAGCGGAACGTCATCTTCAAAGCCCCTGCCAGCCGAAGGGCAGCTCACTTCGTCGAGAACCGCATGGACGGAACGCGACGCCAGGGCGCGGGCCTCCCTGCTGCAAGGACGACAGGTCCTCGCGACGCCTGTAGTGCAGGGGCCAAACAGTGGCACCTCAGGTGGCGTGGCCGCGGCACTCTTCAACGACCACGGTTGGGGCCCGACCACAAGAGACCTTCCACAAGAAACCCAACCCTGAGACCCCAGGACGTCCATCGATTTTTGGTGCGGGAACGTCACGCCTTCCGCAGCAAAACCGTCGAAACCCAAGAAGCCCAGGCCGCTGTGGACGCAAGCGGGGTGTTCGTTGGCATGGACCCCCACTGTACAGGGACGCTCGCGCCACCACACTGGTGGAGGGATGCGTCCTACAGGTGGACGCCACTTTGGATGGGAACCCCATCACAACGTACTTGCCGCCGGACACGGGGCGTAAAACTCTGCTTGAGATACGCGGCTGGATCCCCTCCGCTTGTTCCGACCCCACCTATTAGGCTGGCGACATCAACATACAAGCGGATTCTCCGCGACCCGGCGAGGAAGAGGACGTGGCCACTTAGGTCGCAATGCTGGCAAGTAGACGGCAGACGGCAGACGTCCATTCGCATTGAAGGCCCTACCAGAATCAGCAGAGCAGGTGAGTCACGCAATGACTCGGTAGCCACACCTGCCACACAGGTCGACAAGTACGAGGTGCGGAAAACTTGACGACTCCCTCTGTCGGACCACGCTTTGCTTCATTTGAACCCACGCAGTGAGAGAGGACAAGAAAGGCCCAGCAGTGCTTACACCGTGGACACGAAAGACCCAGCAGGCTCTTCCTGGGGAGGCTCTACAGCACTTACGGAGGCGCTTCATGGGGCTGGAGCTTCGCTTCCACGTCCCAGAGATCGACCTCTTATGGCCGCCACGTGACCGCCTCGCGGCCGCCCAGTGCGCCTGGCCGGGCTCTGCGGGGCCCTCGGCCCGCGCCGCCCGTGGCCGCCTCGTGGCCGCCCCGTGCGCCGGCTGGCGCCCGCACCTGCCGCGATGCGCGCGCGCGGCGGGCTCCTGCTTCGCGAGCCCCGGGCAGCAGAGCCGCTCGCAC